GAGGATGCGGCATCCCCTTCGAGAGCCAGGAGCTGCGACTGGTTCCGTGGGGCAGCCGGGATCGAGGGAGATGGAAATGCCTCTCATGCGCCAGTCCCTTTCGTGCACAGCGCAGATAATCTGTCCTGTAGTGGATATGCCACGGAAGAGCCCGCGCAGGCCGCGCGGGCGGCCCTGGCTCGGCCGCCAGCCCCGCGGCCGCAGCTGCAGCCGCGGGGGGGAGAGGCAAGCCCGCTGCCGCCGCCACTACACCAAGCCTGGGACAACGGTGTGCTCCCCAACCGCGGGTGGTGGGAGCGCCTGCGGCCGTGCGCATCGGCGTCCCGACCTTCGCGCAGGTGCCCGATCGGTTCTGGGGCGTTCTCGTGAGCGCGTGGGGGTGCTGGCGGCGGCGGCCGTGAGGGGGGGGCTCTGACCAGGAGTGGAAGGCGATGCTCCTCTTCGACGCGCTCCTCACGGCTGAGCCAGCCAGGCAGGCCACCAACGCCGAGGCTCTCGAGGAGCCCCTGGCGTGGTGGCGGGGAGGCAAGTGGGGCGCGTTGCGGGGAGACGCCGCTGGACGGTCCGCGCCCCCAGCCAAGGCCGCCAGGCAGGGGCAGCCGGACGCGCAAGAGAGAAAGGCGCGGCGGGCCCACGCTTTGGCCGCAGCCAGGGAAGAAGGCCAGGTCACAGCGCTCGCTCCGCGCAGCCGCAGCGCGCTGGAGAACGCGCGCGCTGCCCCCCCCCCGCCCCAGCGGAAGGCGGCCCTGCTCAGCCCGCCGGCCCTCGCAGGTCCGCCCTTGAGCCAGACTTTCGGAGCGAGGTGCAGGAGGAGGTCAGCCTCCTCCGCGAGCCACCCCGCTCCTGGCTTGCATGGGGCCCACCTGGAGCACCTCGTCACGGCGGTGGACGACCCGGAGGCGCTCTCTCTGCTGGCCCAGGCGGTCACGAAGCTCACTTTCGGCGGGGAGGTGGCAGCGCCGGTGCTCCAAACCCTCCGGATGGGCGAGGTGGTGGGTTTGGACAAGGGGAACGGCGATGTCCGCCCACTGCTCGTGGGGGCCAGCCTGAGGAGGATCGGGATGCGCGCGCTGGCCCGGGTCAAAAAAGAGAGGCTCGGGCGGGCGGCTGGCACCCGCCAGCGCGGGGTCGGCCGGAAGTGCGGGACCGACCTAGGCCCAGTCGGACGCTCACCCGGGAATGGTGTTCATTATTTAAGGTGGACTCAAGGCGGCCTTCCAGCGCTTGCGGCGACGCCCAGCCATCTGGCTGTACACGTGCCGGAGGTGCTTGTGGTACTCCGGGCCCGGCAAGCACTTCTGGCGGGGCGCAGCGGGCAATTTCGAGGAAGTCAGGGAGCACCCTCGGTTTTGTCCGCGGGGGCCCTCTGGCCCCAGCTGCCTTCGATCGCGGTCGGCCAGAAGGCGGCGTTTCCCCAGCCGCTCTGGAGGGGCTCTCGCGGCAGGGCCCAGACGTGAGATTATGCCTCTACTTGGGCGACATCTGCCCGGTGTCCCCAGCGAGGCTCGCCGCGGCCGCCCCCCGCCGCTTGGGGGGGCTCCTGGAGCCCCTAGGGCTGAAGCTCAACGCCGGAAAGACGCAGGTATGGCGTCCGTCTGGGCAGCAGGCCTTGCCCCCAGAGCTACGCGCGCGCCTCTTGTCGGCGCCCCCCGCGCTCGGCTCGCGCCTACGGGCGCGGGGCGACAGTGGGCCGGACGCTCGGCGCAGCTTTCGAACGCCCTCCGGCCGCTCGGGGCGCGCGGTTGGCGAGCGCGGCCGCTCGTTGCAGGCGACTGGGAGTTTGCTGCGCACCTGCGCGGGCGCCGCGAGCCAGCTCGCCCCGCGCGCGGCAGCTGTTCGGCGAAGCTAAGGCGGCCCGCCACGACGCCATTCTGGCGGGCTATTGGGGGGGGCTCGCCGAGCGGCCCGTGGGCGCCGCGGCGCGGGAGATCCTCGGCCCTCGAGCTCTCTGGCGCGGGGCTGCAGCGGGTTGCCGCGCGACGAGCCGCGGCGTTCTGGGCCGACTGGGCGGCGCGCGTGTCCTGCGCGGCCGCGGACCTCGGCGCCGACCCCCCTCTCGAGCTCCTTGGCGCGGCGCCACGACTCGGCGAAGCCCTCTCCGACGCGCGGACGGACCTCCCCCCCATGGCGCGGGCCCCGCGCTGGGCGCATGATCTGGGCGCCCCGCGGCACCCGGCGAAGCGGGGCGCCCTCGTGCAAGCTGCGCAAAGGAAAACCACGCTTCCATAGGGCAGCGTTTGCGCAGCCACGAGCGGGCGACGCCCCCGGGGGCCGGAGGGCCAGGGGCCGCAGGGTTTCTCGGTTCCCCGAAAGGTTTCTCGGTACCCGAGCGACCCCGCTTCCTCGCTGGAAGACGCGCTCTGGGCCACGGGGCCCCGTGCCCGCGCGCACTTGCCCAGGCTTGACTGCGCGCAGGCAGAGCTCCGGACGGCTGCGCAGACCTGCCCTCGGAGAGAGCCCACGGCGTGCCCTGCGGACAGCCGCTGAACGAGCAAGGCACGCACGCGGCCACCTGCCCCCTGGGCGGCGGCGTGGAGCGAAAACGCGGTGGCCGGCCTGGTCCGCCGCTGGCTGCGCCAGGAGCCGCTGACGGAGCAGCGGGCGCCGGCTCGGGACACCGTCCGCAGCCGGCCGCCAGCGGACCCGCCGGACGCAGACTTCCACGAGCCATCCGCCACTGGATCGACGTTTCGGTCCGCCGCCGCCACGCCCGGCAGCCGAGGACGCGGCGCAGGCGGCGGCGCGCCAGCCTGGCGAGGCCGCCAGGAGGGGCGAGCGCAAGAAGCACGCCAGGTACCCGGGGGACAGGCTGACGCCATTCGTGGTGGAACCCCCCTGGCGCCTGGGCGGGGAAGCCCGACAATGGCTTCTGCGGCAGGTGCGCACCTTGCCCAAAAACCAGCAGGTCGGCGGGCTGACCCGGGCCAACAAGGTCGTCAGTCGTGCCGTGCAAGCGCAGTTGGCGCTGCAGCGCCGCCGAGCAGCTGGGCTGGCCTGACGCTGCGGGGAGCAGCCTGCCCAGGGTGCGGCGCCAGGCTGCGGCTGACTGCTGGCTGGGGGCAGCCCGAAAACTGAGAAGGGCGCGCGCCGCGCGCTGTACCCTTGCCTGACTGCCTCCCGCTCCCCGTCTTCCCTCCCCCTCCCCTCTCCTTTCCCGCTCCTTGCCTCCGCCGGTCGCGCGAGCGCCTAAAGCGGACGGAGATGTGCCCGCGTGGCGCCCGGCCCCGAAGGGAGGCTGGGGCCCCGCAGGTTTGCTGCCGTGGCGTGGCGAGACCAGGGCCAAATCTCAAAGCCCGGGCGTACCCCATTGCGCCAAGGGTGGGGGCCCACTTGGGCGCCCCCAGGCAAGGGGATGATGATGATGATGATGATGATGATGATGATGATGATGATGATGATGATGATGATGATGATGCTGACGATGCTGATGATGATGATGGTGATGATGATGATGATGACGATGGTGATGGTGATTATGACGATGACGACGAGGATGATGACGATGATGAAGATGATGATGATGAGGAGGAGGAGGAGGACGATGATGATGATGATGATGAGGACGATGATGATGATGATGATGATGATGACGATGTTGATGGTGATGATGATGATGATGATGATGAAGAGGAGGAGGAGGACGACGAGGAGGAGGAAGAGCAGGAGGAGGAGGAGCAGCAACAGCAGCAGGAACAGGAGCAGGAGCAGAAACAGGAGCATGAGCAGGAGCAGGAGCAGGAGCAGGGGAAGGAACAGCAGGAGCAGGAGCAGCAACGGCAGGAGGAACAGGTCGCTGACGCCGACGTATTCGCGCGGAGCGCGCGCCCGTGCGAGGCGGCGCGGGTGCGCGCGTGGCACGTGTCCTGCGGCGCCCTCGTCGGCGCAGCACTCATGGGCGGGCGCCTCGGCCCCGGGCGCGGCAGCACCGCCTGTGGCTCGGGCGTTGTCGCAACGGGGGGGGGATCAAGTGGGGGGAGGACGTGGGGGGGGGGGGGGGGGGCGACGGCTGCAGCAACGGGCTGCCGAAGGTGAACGAAAGGTGCACTTTCCTTGCCCCCCACCCACGGTTCGCTGCCCCCCATTGGGCGCGACGCTTAATGGCGAAGGGGCAGTTGGGGCGCCCCCCCCCATCTCAGGCGCGGCGACGCGCCGCGGCGCGGCTGCGACGCCCAGGGCGTGCCCGCGAAGGGCCTCGCCTTCGATCCGTCGAGGGGGTGCGTTGTCTCCTCCTCGGCGAGAGGCCGGCGGAGATGAGGCGGGTCTGAGAAGCGCAGACGTGGATCACGGCGCGTGCATTAGCGGTGGCCCCCACTTCCATATATTGTGAAATTGGCGCGCCACGCCGCCAAATCTGGCGGCACTGGCCTCTCATGTTGTGGGGTAAGTACCTTCGCCGCTCCGTGAATCTTGCGCGCGCGCTCCAGATCCACGGGTCCCAAACCCATGTTAGCGTGCGCCCGAGCGGGGGTCCGAGGAAGGAAAGGCGGCATAAGCATAAAGTGTCGGGTATCCGCGCGAATTTCTGTGATCGGCGCTAGGCCCCCCTGGCGGCGCCTCTGGCGCCGCCCCTGACGCGCTTCGCGCCCCAGGGAAGGGGAGTCCAGCGCCGATCCAAGACATCTGCGCGGACCTCGAAGAAGTTATGCTTATGCCGTTTTGGTTCCACGGGTGGCTACGCTGGCGAACGGTTGGCGGAGGTCAGGGGCAACGCTTTGGGCGGGTGGTTAACTAGGCTCAGGGGGAACGCATCGGTCCCCAATCGCCCAGGCATCGCCGATGCCGATAGGGGCCCGATAGCCCACCCCGCCCAGGACCGCGTTCGGCTTCGCAACCGGGGGCCTATCGCAGATCTATGGGCGATGCGTCGCAGGTTCTAGGTCGACTTTTCCCCCCTAAGCTGGTCCCCCTCGGGCTGGCGGAGACCAGCGGAAGTGAACGATGTTATATGTCTTTACCGATTCAGGATTTCCGCTTCGGGACAGGTGAGGTGCTGAGCTTCCTGGGGGGCTCCGAACGGGCCCGTCATGGCTGCGGCTTGGGCGCAGCTCGTCAGCGCCAGTCAGGGTGTTATCCAGGAGGGGTTTGGTCGAGCGAAGAAAACACGATGATGACACTGACCAAGATGTCGCGGAATCCTGCTCCGTAGCCATTTTGGCTCAAGCGATGCTGTCGCAAGCTTTGTGCGTTGTTGAGAAGATCGTCGTTGAGCGGATCGTACGCCATCCACGACATCGGCAGCCAGGCGAGAGGGTGGCTCCGCTGGGTATCGGGCGCCGCCCAGTCGGGCGAGACGACCCGGTCGTCGAGCGCTGACTGCTAGGTTGGCATGGCAGTTTCGCTCGACGAGCTGCTGGCGATTCCCTTGGGGAACGCGGTCATTGTCACTGCCGTCGCCGCCCTGTTACTCGGCGCCATCTGCTTCGTACGCAGTTGGCAGGTCTTCGACTCCAGGCACGCAAATTATCTGATGACACTTGGGCTGGTCTCGGGCAGCCGGTTCCTGCCCAGCATCGCGGCAGCTTATGCGATTGCAGCCCCATATTGTCGCACACAAACTTAGCCCCCTCGGGCGAGCTTCTGATGGCGTGCTCTACATCACAGAGTTGCCACGAGCGCGGGGTATATATCGCTGTGCGGGTGCCACTTCTGGCACTGACATTCTTGGCTGGACCGATTCTCTGGTCGTGGCTACTCCACCGCCGTCAGGCAGATGGGCGCAGCAAATCGTTGCGCTTTCTAACAGCATCTTACCGCGCAGAGACCGATGCGTGGGAAGCCATTCGGCTGGCAAAGAACATGGTTCTCAAGTGCGCTGTGGCACTGTCGCCCATATCCTACTGTGCGGGGCAGCAGTTGATCCTCGTCCTTGGCGTGATGTTCTTCTGCACGGCGTCGCACTTGCAGCATCAACCGTGTAGGTTCCAGGTGCTCAACCACGTCGAAGCCATCACCCTCGGGGTGCTCAACATCGGCATGATGGCCGCCAGCCTGGTGGTGAGCGGATCGTGGTTCATGAGTAAGGATTTCGCCCAGCAGCTAACCGTTGCCTCGTACAGCTTGCTGGCGGTAATTTTCCTTGGCCTCGCCTTCCTTGTTGTCTGGGCGAAGCTCGTGCTTCACGACGATCACAAGCTGCTCAAGCCCTGACCCCTCCAGCGTGAGCAGATCTGAGAGAAAGCCGGGCGGGGCCCAGATGTCGCTAAAACGAGCAAGAAAAGGTGTCGCGGGACCCGGTCGACGCCGATCTTGGCATGATCCATGCTGGCCGTCGCCGATTCGCGAGGATTCGCGAACCGACGATGCCCAAGATGTGCGACGACCGAGATCTGCACCGGCGCTTCTGCGTCATGTCCTGGTCGTGGTCCTCGGCAGGCTCGCGCCGTCTGGGCGCGGACCGGGTGCCTGTGCTGTCGAGGGTCCAAGTTGGCCACTGGCTCGGCATCACTCGGACGTGTGCATTTTTCCTTCGGCGAGGACCATCGAGGAGCATCCTTGATCATTTGGCGAAAAAACCGCTCACGAAACCCAAACCAGCACACGGCATGGACGTCCGAGCGATGGCGAGCTGGCGGGGTCACCCTGAGCGAGACACCGAAAAGCAGCGAAGCCGCAGCACCATACTTTTTGATTCACTCTCGCGGAGGCACTCGCGCATTTGAGTGTGCGCGCTCTTTGTTCGAGCAAGCGTGTTCGCTATCTCCCCCGCGCGCGTGTGCGCGTGTTCCCTCGATGCACGCGGCTGTACGGACGTGCGCGTGAGTCCTTGTTCCTGTGCATGTACCGATGCTGTTGATGTCAGGACCAAGTCCGAGAGGGGTAGAGAAGGATCCATATGTGTATATATATACACACATACGTACGCATTGGGAGAGAAGGGGAGAGAGAGAGAGAGAAAGAGAAAACGGGAGGTCCCCCCCGCGGAGCGGGGCCCGTGGAACACCCGGGTTGGCTGGGACACCCTCCGCCCTGTCGAGCAGGGTGGGGAAGGCGGCTGCCGGAGTCTGGAGGACTCCAGGGTACAAACACCCTGCGCTCCGGCGGGGGGCGGTTTGGAGGGCTTGGGGCGGGGCCCCCGGTGTGTATGTGTGTGTGTGTGGGTGTGTGAGTGCGTGGGTGCGTGCGTGCGTGCGTGCGTGCGTGCGTGCGTGCGTGCGTGCGTGCGTGCGTGTGTGTGTGTGTGTGATTGTGTGTGATTGTGTGTGGTTGTGTGTGATTGTGTGTGATTGTCTGTGATTGTGTGTGTGTGTGTCTCACGGCTGGTCCTTCGGGGAACTGGGAGGCCGGGGTGGGGTCGGCCCTCTGGGGTTCCCCGCCTCGGCCTTGCTACGGGCCCCCCCTGTCGTGCCGAGCCGCCTCCCCCGTCCCCCCTCCTGCCCCTCTCGTCCTCCCTTCCTCTTCTCCCCCGCCCCTCTCGCCCCCCGCGGCTTGGCACGGCCGGGGGCTCGTCTCGCACCGTGGGGCCGCTCGCTCGGGGGCCCTCCCCCTCGTCGTCCACTTGGTGCCCGGTCCGTGGCTGGGGTCGAGCCATCACGCCGTTTGCGTGATGTTCGGTTGGCAGGTGCCTTTCCCGCGCCTCGTGCGCGGCGTGCTTCATTGCTCGCGTGCCTGCTCGCGTCCGCCGCTGGCCGCGTTTCGGTTGGGGGGCTGCGGGGCGCCTTTCTCGGGGCTGGCGCGAGAGGCGCCGCGCCCTGGCCTTCGCTGAAGGGCTGCACTGGATCGAGTGGCCCCCGCGCGTAAGTAGTCGGCCGCCCCCAGGGCGCTGGCGATTGACGTTGCGAAGCGGTGCGCAGAGAAAGAGAACGGAAAAGAGAGAGAGAGAGAGAGAGAAAAAGAGAGCGATAGAGAGAGAGAGAAAGAGAAACAAATCACAAACAAACAAAAAAACAGCTGCGGACATCGCGTGTTCACACGCCGCCCGGGCGAGCGGGGCGCGCGCCAAACCCTCGGGGCCAGGGCGGGCATTCAACGAGGGTCCAGACGGACAGGAAGGTGACCAGCCACGAAGCGGCACGACGGACTGGCAGACACGAGGCCGAGAAGAAAAGGAGGGAGAGAGAGAGCGAGGAAAAAAACGACCTGCGTGTATCATTACATATATATGTATATACTATGTATAACCCCAGGAAGCATTTACGACCCCCCCCCTTCCGGTGAGACCATAACGCTTCCGGCACCCTGGAAGCGTTACCTCGGCACCAGGGGGCGCCCCCTGGATTCGAATGGGGTCCAATTCGGCTCCTCATGTGATGGCAATAAGACCCCCATTCGTCGTCGGCGTCGTGAAATCCTATTGGCGATTCGATTCGGTTCGAATCCTGTTGGGATCCTTTTGGAGTCATACTCTATTGGAATCCGATTGGAATCCTGATAGAATTCCCGCTGAGGAGAAGGAGGAGGAGGAGAAGGAGGAGGAGGAGGAGGAGGAGGAGGAGAAACAACATCAAGAAACGGGGCTGCGAAAGCCGTCCTGAGAGAGCCCAAAGATGGTAAAATCGTTGTTTCCCTATGGTTTTCTAATGTTTGTCGCCATCTCACGTTTTCCCCCTTCCAACCCTCGAAGATCGAGGATTTTGGAAGACAATTACCCTGGCGACGTACCCAACCCTTGCGCAATACGGGGCATAAGTACATCAGGATTGCTACAACGGAGGCGATGACGTAACATGGACGCATAGATTTTACGAGCAGCAATCGGAAGGCTCGCAGGCCCCCGATCAAGATATAAGGGCGTCGTAGTGTCGCACATCGCAGCCCCCGCCAGGGACGCCGAGGTCCCGCTCAGGTCCCTGCGGTGCCTCACTCCGCAGGACCCACCAGCAGTCCTCGAAAGTGGCGACGGTGTCGCAGATCGCAGCCCCCCAGGGACGGCGAGGTCCCGCTCAGGTCCCCGCGGTGCCTCACTCCGCAGGACCCACCAGCAGTCCTCGAAAGTGGCGACGGTGTCGCAGATCGCAGCCCCCCAGGGACGGCGAGGTCTTGCTCAGATCCCCGCGGTGCCTCACTCCACAGGACCCACCAGCAGCCCTCGAAAGTAACGACTGTGTCACAGATCGCAGCCCCTTGGCAAGATGCACACTGGCGACAGCGGGAGGCGGGAGGAGGAGGACTGGAGACCGCAGTGCTCTATTCAAAACAAATGTCCAACCAAGGAGGGTTGGGAAAAATAAAAAAGATGGAATTCCCAGAATTCCTGTTTTTCAAGTAGGACTCCTACTCGGAGATCCCACACATCCCCTGACATCTGGCCGGTACCGCACCTCCTGGCTTCCCGGGGGGCCCCCAAGACGCTCAAGGACAGCCCAAAACGACCCCCAAGG